CCCCCCCACAAAAAAAATCATAAATCAAAATTTTGGAAATGAGTGGTTGCCTGTTATCGCCCTACCCATCAAAACGAAAACACTCACTGGTAATTACTTTGTGAGATAATGTCATCATGCTCTTGCAGAAACTTCAGGAAGGTCTTGCGGGGTTACTTAAAATGTGAATCAAAACCACATGGCATGTGCGTGCTCTCTTGAGAAGATTGTACATCATGTAAATATACATCCACTGCCCCCTCCTCCCCCAAAAGTAATCAAAGGTAACACTTCTTTTCTCCCGATACAAATATCAGAAATTGTTAATTTTGGTATTAAACTAGAACCTATAGCTTTGACTTAAATACTGAAAAATGCATTTTGAAGTTCATGTTAAATTACGGAGATATATTTAAATGCATAACACAATTCATCTTTGGCCTTTCCATGGAATTTCAAGCAGTTTTTCTTACAAGTGGATGCAGTCCCTGAATTAAAATCCTAACTCATCACCCAACCATTTGGGTTCTTTACTTCTTAGAAATTTCTTTCTAGTTCTAGTGATAAAACTGATGTTTATTTCAGAGGGCAATTAATGTTTAATTGTGCAGTTTCAGAGTTTATCAAGTACATGTATGTTCAGAGAAAGCAACTTCAGCTGAACTTGTGCAGTTCACTGAAGTCATTTTGTAACGATGTGATAAATCTTATTTTATTTTCTGTCAGATAACCACTATGAACCATTTCAGGGTCCTATTTGTTAATAGAAAATAAAAGAGGTTTCAACGTAACACAACAAAACCCTGTTCAGTTCAGTGTCCTCACTTTGTGGAACTTTTCAAAAGGAGTAAACATAGCATTTTGATTGTTGTGGTGAATCGCACTGGACATGACAAAAAGACGGTTGTCTTTATCATCACGATTGTCTCTGCATCGAGTCATCAGATTTAAATGTTGTCTTCCAGTTTGAACAGGTAGCATTCAAAGTTTTGCTTTGATACCACAAAAAACAGTTTCTAAAAATTATTTTGGGCATAGGTTGTGTTTTTTTCCTTCCGAGGGGGGGACATCCTGTACCGTATATATACACTGACTAACGTTTCTTTTCAGACAAACTGCTTGTAACACAAGTATCAGTCAGACCTGGAGACATGACTCAGATGAGCCATGAAACATTCTTTTGATGAGTTTTTTCACGTATGTCCAGCTGACCAGTTTCAAAATTGTATCACTGTTTTTTACAAAGTTCCAGTTACATGTACTTGCATCAGTTCCAGGTAGTTTTTACCTTGTTTGGAAGATGTCCATTTTAAACATTTGGGGCTTGATGGGAAAAGAGGTCACAGGCCTTCCTAACTGAAAGACAGAATCCAGTGTTCTGTGCAAGCAACATTCAGAGAACAAGATTTGAAGCTTTCTACCACATTTCGCATTTTTAGTACATAAATGTACATGTTCATTGTACATGTATAGGTACATATGCTCCAAGGACTACAAAGAAATCACAGCCAAGCTCAGTTTTGGACAACTTGTTGCCAAGAAAAGTCAGCTGATATTCTAGGCCAGAATTTTAGGACATTTCTGTATCTTTACGAATTTAAAAATAAAAACAAAACAACAAAACAAAAAAAGTTGCAACGTACCGATAAGCACTTTTATCCTGCTGTTATTTGATCCAAGGGGGAACGAGAGAGGGCGTCATTTTGCAAAGCAACAGTACAAAGCTTGACACTTTTAAAACTGACCGTTGTTTGTGTAGCAATATACAAGTGTGTTTCACATGCACTTATAGAGCAACTTTTCCTACTTCTTTTGATGCTAGTTACAGTGCGTTCATGCATGACTGTACATGTACAGAAGGCAATTAAGGGGTTCCGGTGGAGTCTGATTTCTGCCAACTGCACAGGGCTGGAGAGATATAACCAGAACTTTCTCATCTTTAAAGCTTCATGCTCATTTCAAACATTTATGGCAAGTTTCATTTCCCAGCTAACCAGTTTCTAATAGTCCTCCACTTGGCCATCAGTTTATTGAATATGAAGCTGGGCTCAGTGTGCCACTCGCTGTGACAGCACAGCCAATCCTCTGCCTGTTTTGTCTGAGACTCTAGACAGAAACTTCCAATTTGGATTGGGCTAATTAGAAATGGGAAATTCATTGATCTTTGCTCTTTCGGTGGAACAATGAGGGGCAGGTTTACTTTGGCACTGATAAATAACCAGGTTGTCCCATTTCTTGACCGAGGTTACCCTGTATTGGGCCAACTGAATGGACAAGTTCAGGTGTCCGTAGTAAGTACAGGACAGTGCTCCTGAACAAGAAAGGTCGTCACAGATCTCTTCAGAGGGTTATTTGGAAAGAAAATCATTGCCTTGGATCATCTGATTGACTGTGGCCCTCAAGAACCTCTGATGATATGACCCTGGAAAAGCTCAGGTGTGCACAACTCCTCCAGCAAATCTGGATGACCTTCTAGAGGAGAATAAGTCCAGAAGTAGACATTCTCAGGCAAAACAGGCAGATGATTTGCAGAGCTGTTGATGTGGCAAGTCCAGCTTTTTATTCAACAAAATAGTGGCCATGTGGAGGACTAATAAGACACTCTGAAATGTGACCTTCTCATAAATTTTTTAATATGAATTCCAAGTTTTGCAGATGAAAAAACCGCTTTGTTTTCTTTTGTGTCTAGCCCTGTGCAGTTGGCACAAGTCATACTTCATTGAAACCCCTTACCCGTCTTCTGTGCAGTCATGCATGAAACCTAATATACATGTAGCCATTCATGTAACTTGCATCAGGAGAAGCAGGGAGAGTTACTCTAAAAGTACTGTTACATGTGAAAAAAAAAGTTAATATATATATATATTGCTACATGCTGAAAACAACGGGCATTTTTAAAAGTGTCTTTTTTGTTTGTTTGTTTGTTTGTTTGTTTCTTTCTTTCTTTCTTTTGTTTACCCACACTGCAGCACTGGACGAATCCAACATTTACAGAAAAGATTCAAATTCTTTCAAGAAATCACGATTCCACTTAGAATCATTTCCAATTTTCACAAGCTACAATAACATGCAAAATTTGCCACTTACTGGGCAGCCAACACCCATGTACATAGAGACAGAATATTCCAATTACAATAAACCTTATTCCCGGGTTGGCCATGCTGAAATTGAAAGCAAGATTAACTCAGTCTTTACGGTACTTGTAAGAGGTAGGGAAAAGAAAACATTCTTTCCCCAGTTATAACTTTAAGAGTTGACAAGGCTATCTTCCCAAATTAAAAATGAAAAAATGGGACTGTTTTCCCATTTATGATCAAAAAAATCGTAGCGATTAATGTATAATATGTGCATTTTCTAGACATCATCAAAATTCCTCATTTTGATGCATTTGGGCTGCAACAATGCCAGCTTACATGTATCTTTATGCCTGCTTCATGTATGCCTGTTGTGCCTTTCAAGCTCCTTGTTACGTCATCAACCCTATACAAACACAAAATTTGACCTCATGTTTCCGAAATCGGCCCCATAGGTTGTGGACGGAAATTGCCTCTTATTTCTCTCATGTTGATTTTTGGAAGATAATTTCATTGTATACTGGTTTCTGGGTGGCCAATCTACATGTACCTCCAAAACCCTAGATGTCCCAATATTTTAAGCCTTTTCCCTACCTCCTTCATGTTGAGACTAGATATGAACGCAAAAAATAAAGCAAGTCTGGTCCGAGCCAATTTGGCTCATCAGGCCGGTGTTTATCTCTGGTTTCTTTGGCATGAAATGACTGAGAATATTTCCATTCCCCCCTGGATGGGATGCCAGTCCATCGCAGGTTGTTTCCACAGCTAATGCTGGTACCCATTTATACTCCTGGGTGGAGAGAGGCAAGCAGGGGTGAAGAGGCTTGCCAAGGGCCACAACATACTTCCAGCAGCTGGATTCGAACCTCCAACCCTATGATTGGAAGCCACAAATCCTAACTACTTGGCCACATGCCCCCCTAGATATGAAAGCAATAAAATGAAATTTTATGACAAGTCACAACTAAGCACATGTACATGTACCTGCCTACTCCGATAAATAATTTCAAGTTTGTGATGAAACATGAAAATTGCACCTCAGTGTTTTACACCAAATGTTAGGAAAATACTGATGGGGAGGCTTGGAACAATTGTAAAGCAGTCTGGTGTAATACTACTCCGTGATTGCAATTTATAAAAATAGATTCAGAGAATAAGATCAAAAATGGCTTCCATGTGAGTAAGGTCTATTGGTTGTGCATGTTTCATGTAATTTTTGCATGCAAGCTTTGCATGCGCAGGCACATGATACCGTGAGTTTTGGAATATACATTTGGCCAATTGGTGACTGTTAAAAACAAAAAGAACAAAAACGACTGCAGCATGGCCCACCCATCAAGGATACTCATCTAGTCCGCTAAAATTGGTAATTTTACGGACTTAGAAAAGTTTAGGTTCAATAGCGACACAAGTTTAGGCACACGTGCTGCTTAAACTAACTTGACGATTACGTACCCTAAAGTAGTGCGGACCCTAATATGAGGCACTTTGAATTTTTGCCTCTGCTGTTAGTGTATTAATAGAGCAACATTTTTACCTCAAACTTCACGAAGGGTGAAATTTAATCAAACTCCAAATATTCTGATTTATTAATCTCAATTTCACATACCCGCTACAAAGTCTCAGCTGCAGCACATGTGTGCAATGACTTACGTGGTACCGTAGGACATTATCAACACTGCAGTGCAGCTTATACACTGGTGCAGCTAATACGCCAACCTCAAATCTGAACTTGCATATTGTGTCTGGTGCAGCTCACACTCCGTGTGCCATATACTCCAAAAATTACAGTATGTGGCCCAAAGGGGGATGTTGTTTCAATGTAAAAATGTGCCTTCTCAAGGCTTAATTGTCCGGGGACTCTGGCATACGAAGTGGAGTTTCATGCAGGATCACAAAATAACTACATGTATACCTTGTGCATTTAAACTTAAATTACTTATTTACCCTGTCAATGATCTACTTATGATGCCGTCATCTGTGTGTTGCATTCAGCATTTTGCACATTTCCTCCAGTGGATTGGTCTTGATGTTTTCACTGCCCGGGTTGACATAGACCTCCGGCTCCCTCTTCATCATGTACGTGCCTCTATTTATCAGGTCCACTGAGATCCGCGCAATTTTCGGTGGCACAGGAGGTGGCTGGATGCCTGTGGTGCTGTTGACTAGTTTATCAATCTCTTGAAGTGGGTCACTGTTGGGGTAAATTGCAGACTCACTGAACTGGACCAGGCTAGAGCTACCGATGGCGAACTCGGCACTCTTCCTGTTGTCCGGAACACAGTTTGCTGGTGAATCAGGGGAAGCCCGATTCCTACTGGCTGATCTGACGTCTCCGTTATTGCTCTCGGAAGAGTGTGGCAGGGAGTTATTGTTGTGAGTTCTCTTGACCGGCAAGCCATGACATTTCAGAGGCCTGCCTTCCTGATCGCTGGCTGCAACTTCAGCCCCAGGCTCTTGCTTTATCCTTGGAGCACCTGAGGTTGAGGCCTGACAGGCAGATTGGCTGATGACTTTGGAGGGTGAATGCATTGCATTTCTGCTACTGTCAGACTTAAGAGTGGGCCTCATTTCATGCACAGAGGATGAACTGCCACAGAACATTTTGTACATTTCGAGACTTCTCTTCAGTCGACTGATATGCCCCTCACGGTTCACGCTTTCGGTATCACCATTTGGATCGTATGGCATAACTCCATTGTGTTCGACGCTGTGACTTGATGCCTGCCCACCCTCTCTTGAAAACACGTTATCTGGGGATTTGTCATTTGGACTGAGATGATTCTGCATCATTTGAACAACTGGTGGGCTCTGACGAGAGTCTTGAGTTTTCCTTTGACAGCCATACAATTCACCAGACTCTGATGATGTGTTATCAGGTCTCTCTTTCTTTATCTCAATGCTACTCGGCAACACACAAGGGTAACAATTTGGATTCTCTCCACTGCTACGTGCATGGGAAGTTGGCTCAGTTCTTCCACTGGTAGCTGTCTTTCTGTTTTCAACAGAAAGCTCATCTTTTGCACAACTAGACTCCTCAGTTTTATCACGCAACTCTGCAGAATAAGCAGATCTTGTGAGAGGCTCTTGGACATTCTTAGTACAAAGGCTACTAGATTTGGCGGGTTTGGGGTCTGGTGGTGGTAGCTGCGAACCTGGCTCATGATTCTGCATCCCTGTCCCCAGCCTTGCCAATCTCTCTCCAAGACTGCTTGCTGCAGATTGTCGATTCTCATGTTCATGCTTTCTCGGTGAGTCCCTACTATTTCCAGACTTTGTGGGAGCATTTGTCCCATTGTGCTCCTGTCGTTGGCTCGCCAGGGAGCCACCAGACTTCTTCATGAATACGGACACCAAACCCTTCTTTGGAAAGCTCTTTTGAACTGGGACACTCACTGTGGTTGCCCTCACCACCTCCTTCTTGCTGCCTGATGATGAGGCATGGGAAAGGGAGTTGCTGTCAGTGGGCCTTGTCTGATCCACTCGCTGAATATCTGCCCTGTAGGGTTTCAAAGAAAGAATGTTCTTCCCACTGCATTTTGGCTGAGAGACAATTCCTTTTGTGACTGAAGTTTTTATCATGTCTGCTGGCAGGGAGCGTCTCCTTTTGTGTGTCTTTCTGTGGATTTGGTGCTCCACCACAGACTCTTTGGCATCTGTTACTCTCTTTAGACGCTCAGTTCTCATGTGACGTGAAGATCTTCTGGCATGTACTCGTGTCCTAGACGATGGGCAAGTTGAGTGTGCATTTAGCTTAAGTCCAGAAGACTGTCCATGTCGCATCTCCCTACATGAAGTGCCAAGTTTTGGACCGTGAAGGGGATCACTGTGTTTCTCCTCCTTCCTGAATGAGTGGGATAAGATTTTGTCAATTGCTTCAGCAACAGTCACATTTTCAGATTCTTTTGCGGCAAGGTGCTTCTCCATCTTAGAGGCTATGGCCTCTGAAGGGTTAGTGGCTTGAGAGAGTGCATTGTACACCATGGCAAGACCGGCATAGCTGGGAAATACACCACTGCCATTCACAAACTGCTGCTGAGGGGTTTCAACCAACGGCATCCAGGGTGAGTTGTGGAGATTGGGGTGGTGGCGGTGGCGGTGGCCGAGTAACCTGGGATGAAAGTTTGTGTCCCGTGCTGCTTCCACCATGGAAGTCAGTTTATCAAGTGGGTTATTGGTATTGTTATCCATCGCTGAGCTCTTCGGGCGGGTCAAGTTTGTTGGGAAAAGCTCATCAAAATTGTCTGGGTTAACATACCTCACAGATGTGCTTGGGGGAGATGGATGGGGACTTGGTGATTTCTGTGAATGCAGCAATTCACTTGCAATAGCCAATTTGGGAGATTCTCCCTTGACTTCATCTTCTTTGCTCTCTGCAGGTGATGCCTTTAGTAGTTTTTTCTGAGCTTTATCTTCTGTGTTGTCATCTTCTCTCGAGTCAGCTCTGTTACTTCTTAGTGCTGTCTCTTTGCTCTTTGAATCTGCATTCACTGAGGACACATTCAGCAACTGCTGCTTTGAGGCACCATCTTTAAGGATAATCTTAATTTTGTCCCCTGGTTGCTGGTGGTCATCCTCTCCTCTCTCAGGCCATAGTTTTCTGGCAGCCGAGTTGGATTTCATTGTCATACTCAATCCATTAGTGGATGCATCTGGCTCCACTATTCTGTCAACACCGGACACATCATGACCAAATGCTGGGGCAAGAAAATGCCCTGTCTCCTTCATGTGGTCTGTGAGCTTGTGGACATTGGCAAAGAGGTGAGAACAGCCTAGACATTTCAGCGATCGGCTCTTTGATGTCTTTTGGCTGGCTTCAGCATCAACCGACCTCGAGCGTCCCACACTCGCTGGGACTCGCTGGCTGCGGGCAGCCAACATCTGGTTGAGGGCTGCCTTTGTTGTGTTCTGACAAACTTCTTCTCGGGAGCTGGTGGAACTCTCAGAGTTCCTCTTCTCCCTCCGGGACAGGTTATCCGTCTCTTTCGGAAAGACTGTTGCCGGGAGGGATTCCATGACTGGGTTAGCTGCGTCTTGGGTATCCTCTTCCCCAAGGATGTTTCCATCCTCTTCCTCTGCTTCATCCATCTCCTTCTCATTGGGCTTAGCATTGGATCTTGTCAGCAGAATTCCTGCATGTCCAGGGACATGGCTGTAATGCTTAGTCCTCACCATGTGCATGGTCAGGTCCTTGAGAGTTCTGAAGGACGCTTGGCAAATCATGCATTTCAGGACTTGGTTCACCGGGATCTCTTCAGGACAGTCACCTGCTGGTGGCTTAGACTGTGGGACGTGTGGCTTCTCATGCTTGTCGTGTCCGCTTGTTGTGAGATGGACAGTGTAGTCTAAGAAGTCTGGGAATGAAACAGAGCATGTTGAACAAGTGTAAGCACAAAGTTCTTTCCTTGAAGATGCAGCAGGTAAGCGTTGTTTCCTGCGTAGGGCACAGGTGCTGAAGAATTCTGTTCTTGGAGGGACAAGGGCCAAGTATCCCCTTTGCAACATCAATTCTGAATTCAATTGTTTGGTGCTGTTGTGTCCAGTGGCGATGAGATGCAAGGAAAGCATTCCAACATTGGGAAAAGCTTGATAGCAATCAGTGCAGAGAACAAAGTTACAACGGCCATTTATTCCCCGGCAGAGACTGACCTGCGTGGGCAAGACACTGTAATCTGTCTGTAACCGAGATACACTGGCAAGAACATCACGGGGAACAGTCTCACAGAATACAGTCTTAATGCCTTTGCTCGGACTCAAACCACCAGATGAATCCGAAGATCTCTTGGACTTACTGGAGGATCTGTCCTGATGTGGTGCTTGGTCCTTCCGTCTCTTCACTTTGGAAACTCTCAGGTCGAGAGCTTCCTCCTGCTCTGGAATGGACTGGCTTGGGCGCATCCCCAGTTGGCTGAACCTGAGCACTGTTTCCAAGTCAGAGTCTTCATCCTCCGAGTCGCTGTCTGTACCAGACAGTGCAGTGCACATTTTGCTCAGCATTGTCATTGGACCATTCACCGAGGAAAATGAAATACTATTGGCAGACAGTGGCTGGGTAGGGGATGCTTGGCATCTGGTGGGACTTTTCAGAGAAGTGGCATCTGGGGTCAGGCAACCAGAGGTAGATGGTTTCTGTGTTTCTTCATCCATCTGCTCTCTCTTCACCTCCTTGGGCCCCACTTCTCCATCCTCCCTCTCCGCCTCTTTCTCCTTCTCCTCCACATCATCAGACTCATCGTCGGCTAGCTCACCAGGGCTGACATCATCAGTTTCAACGTCACCTTCATGTGCTGTAACGAGACAGATAAAACACAAATGGTAATTAGAAAGTACCCAAATCATCAAACTCCCAGACAGACAAAATAAGTCAACTTTTCCGGGTGATAAATTAACATACAAACTACTTGTAGAATGTTGTTGTGTCAAGCAGCAAGCTGCAGGGTAATGGTGTAAGTAGGGTAATGGTGTGTTGTTTCTAGTCAGAAGGCATAAACACATGTGAGAAACCTACAGTGTGTATTGAAAGTAAGGACTCTTCATCCCATGTCTGCAATTTGGGACATTCTGGAGTACTACCCTACAGTATTTGGACAGGCTACAAGTCACAACCTCATGCAATCCGACTCTACACAGGCCTAAACTGAGAACAGCAATGCCATACTTGTAAATCTGAGAAAATTGTCAAAGCATGCCCAATTAATTAGCTCATTTTAAACTGCACCTACATGTAGGTTTGGTATAGATGTATACACGCAAGGGGTGGTGGGGGGGCAGGCCCTCCCTTCAAGCCTACATGTACATGTGCTAGTATGCCCCACCTTCCAGAAATTACCCAATGGAAAAAATCAGGTGACAATCGGCCTTTGTGTTTTCACAGTGACCAAACCCACAGAGTGCTCCCCTCCAGAAAATGCGGGTGAACAAGAGCCCCTATCCCCCCGCAAGGTCTTAGTTAAGTCTCGACACATGTACTGCATTTATATTATGTATAACTTCTCAGTTAGGAATCACAGTTTCTCTGGGAATATTTTCACAGCATCAGCATTAAGCCATCACTAGCTGCATCAAACCCTGGCCATCCAACCACATATGTACCAGTGGATATAGCCAATCCAGCTCATTAACTCATCACAGACCTTGACGTGACCACACAGAGTTGACACATGTTAAAAATGATGACAAGGCACCAGGATTCTGAAATTCCCAAGGCCTGGACTGCTTCATCGCCATGTCTCCATCAGATACACATGTACATGTTGCCAATTCATAATTGACATTCTCAAGTTGTACCATACAGCACTAATGAACACAGAGAGCCAATGTTGACATTGACAGCAGCCAATATGACAAAGGGTTATTAATTAATTTGCTGCATGACAGAACACCTGTAAAACCACACACTCCAGTGGTTGGAGAAGAGTGGTTGGCTGATGAAGACATCGATGGGTGTATGTACAAATGGGATTTGTCAACTGTCACACCTGAGTTGTTTCATCAAAAGTATAACTCTCATGTGTCTTCAGGTACCTCAGAATTACAAGGCAAACGGTTAAAGGTGCACTATACATGTTGAGACAGTCCAGACCTGTAAGGGTTTGTTTTGGGTTGAACAAGGCCAGGATGGGGCGAAATGTTTGTAACAATAAACATTTGACATTACCTTGATACATACAGTACATGTACGAGCAGAGTCCTTTCATCAAAAAAAAAAGTATCCAAACAGAGGCACTAGTTCTACTTTTATACATGTACATATAACCAAATCTTTGCCAGCTAACACTCTATCTCCCTGCAAATACAAACAAGGTATTGATTGGCAACTCTTTACTAATTGTGTGCATGCATGTACTCCTAGTTAAATTTGTACATGTGTATGTACATGTACTTAATTGCCAGTACCAGGGTAAAATTAAGTCTCAACAGTGTTTGCCTGTTGGTACTGGCATGAATAATGCTAATTGTAAATCATCCACTATCCATCAGCTCTTCAGACAAATATTAGGCTCCCTTTTGATGGACTACAGCACTGGGATCGACATTATCGCACGCTTATTGCTGGCTGTTACATGTAGATGTTACACTGTGCACTCAGAATGCTCAATGTGCTGATATGGGCTAGAAGGCTGACGTCCACTTCTGCTGCACTGCTCTGACACGAATGCTTCAGGAAGAGCTTTGTGCACAGGCTTTTTTTCTGTTGGGGGATGGAGACTCAACTTCTGATGCGATCATGAAAGCATTGGAGATTTGCAAAAGTTTACAATAAAAGTCGCCCTGAAACGGGAATTAAATTGTCCATGGCCACAGCTTGTGCAAACAAAAAAATTCAAAGCCACAAAATGTACAAAGTATTTTATTTGCACAGTACGGGTAGAAAGTTATCTTTGTAAGATTACAACAGTGCCCTCTGGTGGTGCAAGACCATTGAGTTCCATGCACAACAAGCATGAAAACCCATCCTCACCAGACTGCACCCGCGACATGTGGTTTTCTTAACATTATTTCTTGAAGTAATGGTAATACTCGTAACAGTGCAGGCAATGCAAGTAAGATACCAGTACATACATGTACATGTACAGTGCTCTCATCACGTCTAGACCGGTTCCCACTTCCCTCCTTTACAGTGCAGGACTGGAAATCGGTCTGTGTCAGTCTCGCAGTTGCATGTAGGCCACACCCCACTTCACTGTTGTGTTTCCAATAAAAACATTTAAGTACCTTGTACATGTATGGTAGACGGACAGGGCATATAATGGTATGACTTGATCGCTACTGGTAGATTTTTTATACAATTGCAAGCAGTGAGTGCATGCGAGTGTCCCTGAAGGGATGTGCTCGGTGGGTGAAGTCTGCCATACCCACAGTATGATATGCCAAGTACCAGTACATGTAAATGTACATTAACAGGCACATGTACATTGTATACTGTATGTACATCTCCATGTAATATGAAAACATACCGGTACCAGTAATTACTGTATGGCATTTGAATCAAGACCACTAATATCAAAGGCTGGCCATACTTCACTGACAAGCCAGCCACTCATTTGATCCAATCTGCAGCCAAAAGCTGGGGCCATTTACACCAGCATAACAGGTATAACTGATTTATGACTCAACAGGCTGGCCATAGACACGAGCGACTGACTGATGCCTTTTTCTGGCTGAAGTGTTTACAGATGCTGGCGGTGTTGATTGGCAATCTGTACTGTGTCAATTCTTGAGCCAGGCAGGAAAGACCTGACTGTACCAGCTTTCCCTGGAAAAACACACAGCACAGAAAGGCTTTGTCAATCATCGGATTCAATTTGTTTTTTGGAGGGGAGCAAAGCCAACTCTTGGGGCCTTTTTCCCCCCCTTGTCTCTCCCTCACTGTAGCTATCCTTCACTGTTGTCAGGTACTGAAAGACATGACGCATCAACGTGCATGCGAAGCATATGTACACTGAGCTAACACTCTTCAGCTCCACTCCATACTAAATGTAAAAACACACACAATCAAAATTAACTTTCTCTGTGTCTAGGCTTCATCAGTAGTTTAAACATGCTGCACAAGAACTATTCACGGGACAATACCAAATTGTGGCAGGGAATATTTTTCCCTACCGGTATGTCAACAGTTTCGAGGAAATGCTTCCCCTTCACCAGTCCCCTCCTCCGGAGTACAGTAACTGAGATACTGGAAAAATTGTCACACACATTTACTGAAGTACATGTACGTCCTTGGAGTCTATCAATTTCAATCAGTCACTCATGCCCATCAGCTAGGCCCACATTCCTCTAAATATGAATTTTGGGCTTGTGCACATCCAGATTACTACATGTATGAACATGTGCATGTCTTGATCATACATGTACATGTACAGTGTACATGTACATGTCTAGAAGTACATGTACATGTACTACATGTACATGTAAGACACTCAATACCATTTACAGACATTTTGCACAGTATCCATTGGTCATGCAAACTGTACAACTGGACCAAAACAAGGCCCTGTTATTTCATCTATAAATGGACCTACATGTATGTTACTGGATATTGCACTTATAACATACAGTACATGTACACTGAACAAGAACACTGTTGTTAAATCTATGGCATGTACTGTACAGTATGTCTGTCAGGTACATGTACATGTATATGTTCAATGCAGTACTATGATTTCATTGGTCAAAGGCATTGACATGTTTGCAAAAACCACCACAATATTATTATTATACAAATATTGTCACATCATTTACTTCACAGAAAGGGCTGTACTTCACAACTCAAAGTTAAGGACCACTTTTTATGTATACTTTTTATATGAGATATTTTACTGCGGAAATGTGCACTTGATGTTTTGACACATTTTAAAAAGTTTTTATTCCAATGAGAACATCATCTAGACAAATAAAAAATGAAAGATCTAGACATCACCCATTGCTTGGAAAAAAAAATCACAAGTAAAGAAAAGAGAGGCAAGCTTGGCTACATGTATCCTAGATCCTATACACTACTGCTTGACAATGCCTCACTGAAAGGCACATTCTGTGATATTGTTAAGTGAAGACGGGTCTTACAAATGTCCAAATAATAAACCTCCATAACCATAGTCTCAATAATTTTTCTCCTCGCTGTGATCTACAGTCAACCACAATCATCAGTAACTTGATTACATCGATCAAAAATCTCTGCAATGAACAAATTTATGGGAAATACAGGTTTGTGATACCATCATGTTAAAAGGTACATGTACATGTACATGTATGTGAAGACTATCTGTGTGCAAAAGGAAGACTTTGCTTTTTCAGGTATGTACATATATGTATGTTCCTTTCTATCGAGTTTTCAAGCAGATTTCAAAAACAATTGGAGGATGACGGTAAGGGCAAGGCAAAAGCTTTGGGCAGGTTGGGGTCTACAGCTCAAGTACCGGCAAGGAAGACAAGCAATTGGCAACTGTAACCAACATAGGCAGTCATGGCCATCACAATGGGGAGTTATAATGTAGCTGCACTGATCCAGATCGTTCAGCATATCTTTGATCTATTCATGGAGGTTACTGACTGAGTGACCTAAGGAAAAGTACACCAGACGGCAGGCATGATTGATTGATGGGTAATTGTGATGGCAAAGAGCTCTATGCTAACAATTTTTTTTCTTTTGGTTAAAAAAGATAAGTATTCACTTGAGATAATCATGGAAGCTGAATGAATAAAAAGATTTCTAGGCAATGTGTTTTACAGAAAACAATTTAGAGAGCAAATGGGTTGCATTCTTACATTCCCACAAGGATCATAACAA